CAACTTTTAACAAAACGATAATACATTTAAATTTGGAACTGTTACAGCCATTTTAATTATGAGCATTAGCAAACTTCTTACTGAGTGAATTGTTATTCAAATTAGCAATTATCTCAACTTCTTTTTAGTGCACATCCCAGAACTTTATAAAAAAATAGCTCCTAGATGCTTTGACCTTTTGTTTTGAAATTTTCACAAATGATTGACAATGTGTTTATCTTCAAAATGCCGTCGGGGCATTGTTTTTAGTTGAACAGTGTTACAACAATCGTACAGACAACTAGCATGGGTGTTAATTTATGCATAAACTTGAAATAGTGAAATTTGAGCTGCTGCCCTGCAAAATTGACAACTGGTAGACAGTTTTCAAGACGACACTTTCTTCATAGTAAACAGATGTACCCATAAACCAATTTTGACAGGAAACAGAAGCATAGTTTAGAAGCTAAATTTTTTTGATCACTTTTGACCAAAAAAGTACTTTTTTGTGCATATTTCAAACCACAGTGTTCATAGAAAAAAAAATACTAACAACATTTTAAAATTCATACAATAAGCTTTCCGAAAATATAGTTTTGTGGACAAGGGAGATTATCTTGGTTTCCTAATTAACTAATTAAAATACCTGTCAGGTAAACTGCATCTCTACCTTAAATATAGTTCCTCACATATTTGTTCTTATTGACTTCTGGGTTTGTAGTTATGTTTTTACTTTTGGTTAAAATGCTGATGAGAAATATGACAGTGACAATGCTATGTCCAAATATAGCGCTAGATATCAACAAAATTACTATAATTATTATATAAATAAATGATTAATAATTGATCTCTTTTATAGGACAAGCAATTCAAGAGCTCTCAAAGGAGAAACCAAATGAGGCGAATTTAGAACTTTACACACAGAAGTTTTTAAAGTCCTTGGAAACAGTAGAAGGTGGCCTGACAAAACAGATAAACTATTTATCCCAGGTTTCCACTGGACATCCACATGAGGGATCTAGTTATTCAGCACAGAAAGAAGCAAGAATGGCATTACACAGACTTGAACATGCTCGCATGAAATTAAATGAATTGAGTAAAACCTGTACAGGTCAACCATGATTTGCTCACTGGACTACTCTATGGATTATTGTAATTGGCTATCCGCTCCGCTAGGATTGCCCTTATAATCACTTTTGTTGGCGATCCGCTCCGCTAGGATTGCCCTTATAATCACTTTTGTCGATTTGTGTGTCTGTGTGTGTACATTTCCAGTGTTTTCACGTATGATTTCTTCTGTGATTTTTTTGGCTTGGCCGATTTCTTTCAAACTTGGCAGGTAGGTCACACCTTCACCCTAGTTATAAGGAAAAATCTGAAAAAATGTTTTGGCCCACCGTTGCCATAGCAACAGCCAAAAAAATGATTTTTGGATAGCTTCACGCTAAATGTATCTCCTCCTACAAATTTGGGATAAAACACTTCAGACATAGCTCATTCTACTCAGCTTGAGTGTGGGCACAAAGTTACTATTTGAATTTTTGATATCTGTTTTCATTACCGAGAAATTTGACCCCAAAGTTGGGGTAACTTTTCACCAGCAACGGCTCGGCTGGTTTTGTTCATACATGTACTTCACAGGTAGGTCGTGCCGTCACTAATTGGGAAAAAAATCCTGGCCCACCACTGTCATTGCAACATCCAAAAACTGATTTTTAAATACTTTCGCCCCAAATGTATTACCTCCTACCAGTTTTGTACACAGTCAGCTGGCATCGGTGTCGCTGGGTGTATATGATAAAGGGAAGTTGTGCAATCAAAT